ACCTGTCGTCAGACAGAGCACTAATTATAATAATAATACTGTACTGATAGAAAGGTTCAAAAGAAAGAAGACATTTGGGAGATCTAGGCGTAGATGGGAAGGATTGATATTAAGGAATCACGGTGTGTAGGCTTGGACTCGCTTCAAATGCCTCAGGATACGGTTCAGTGACAGACTATTGTAAATAAGTTAATAAGCATTTGATTCCTTCTACCAGACTACACAGCGAAAAAAAACCCCTGAAGACAGCCATCTTAAGACTCACAACCGTGAAAACCACAAATCCTACGATTATCATCATCTGCACTGCTCCATGAGGATGAATTTTGATTGGTTATAAATTTAGACGTTCTAGATTTACAAGTACACGATTCACATTTGGACTCGTTTAGCAGAAGTCTGTTGAGACTATAATGGCGAACCTCACTCTCTTAAGTGAGTGCACAGAACCGTGTTAAAATAGAAATCCTATTTTTGTTAAAATAATATATTTCTAAACCCTTATAGAACGCTGGCCTTGTAATCCTGGGGTCTCGGGTTCGATTCCCGGTGGTGCCCGAATTTATAACTTGTGTTGGGCAAGGCCGTGGCCTAGGCAACACGGAGTTTTCCTCATTGGCATCCCAACAATTACTCCATTCACGCACAGAAGAAGGCAATGGCAAACCGCTTCTGGATCATCTGCCAAGAACGTATATGAACAGGTCCCAGTCCGAGAAAAGGATGGAAGGATCCTGTTCATATGGACCTGTCGTCAGACAGAACACTAAATAATAAAAAAAAACTTATCAACTCACCATCGACGATAATCTTATCACCGCTTTCGACATTGTATAACATTCCCAGTTGAAGTAAAAGTAATCTAAATTCACTGAACCAATAAATCTTAATAAATTTTAATGAGTGCAATTCACGACAATGAGATTCGACCCAATTTTCACTAAAGAAGTTGAAAATGTAGCGTAGTCCTGTATGGTTTTGAAGTCGAGACAGCTCGGTGAGTAGTGTCCGACTGTGGACTTACGACTGGGATTAGTTCGTCTGCATGAAAAATGGAATCACCACTCACCCCCATCTATTGACGAAGTCAACAATTAGTAGGAGTTATAAAAGCCTCACCCTCCAAGCGCTTCCAAGGCGTTTAGCAGGACAGCTTTACTTCAACTCTATGATGTTACCTCATTATTGAATACAGCCATTTTTTTACACATCACAGGAAATAAACATTACAAATTATGCCACATAATTGAAGAAGGCGAAACGACAGATTACGCCATCTCTTCACGCAATGTTAACACAATGGCGTCCATTCAGAAATAGGAACACATACAAAGATGATTTCTTTTGTTTTGAAACACACTTCAACTAAATATTACTGACAACTAAATTAAACAAAATTAATACAGTTTTGTGAAGTGAAAATTCAAGAAACGATTATAATTGCATGTGTATGTCGTAAATGTTCATTGTTTCTTAAAATTTAACACGACAAATTGATAAAATGGTGGCAATTTTATGGTTTATGGCTATAAAATAACAACACAGATATATATAAAATAGAAAGAGTTCTTGTGAGGATGTACCAATATAACAGTGTTCGCCTTTGCTAGCAGGTAAAAAGGAATATGCATTCAAGTGCTTTGGTAAGTTAATTTTACATTCAAATTACGTAGTTAATATAGACGCATGATTTTTAAAAGTAAATTGTCACGAATATTAGTATAGGCACACGACATTTGTAGATTATTTTATGTAGGCCTACGTTAAGGTTTCAATGCTTAATTTATTTTCGGAAAAGACCTGCAATATCAGTTTTTAAATAACACGTTTTTCAATTTTTTTAAAATAATTCTTTCGGACAGGACAATTAGCTGTGACGTAATATACAACACACAAAGGATGGCTAGTCATTAATCAAGAGGAATATTCGACCTGGCTCAACAACTAATTAACTGAGATGATAATGTTGCGTCATATTGTGATGATTATAATTGTTTAATTTTAACCGTCTAATCACAATAAAATATTTTATTAAAAATTAAAATATTATTACTACAATTAAATATTGAATGTTAATTTTAGTAATAATATATTAATATTTAATAAAATATTTTATTGTGATTAGACGGTTAAAATTAAACAACTAATTAACTGACACCGTGGCGGACGGATCCGTCTACCAGGCACGAACCTGAACCAGTTCAGTCCAACTCCCCAATTCCGTAATAACCATATATCATCCGAAAATGTCTCCTCGGTATTCCGCGTGGATAATTTCTAATAAGCGAGATTTTAGATTCTCACTATGTCCTAGTGGGTTGTGCCGACGAAGTGTAAACTCGTAGGTAGCTGGTGAAACATACGCGTATCGACATTCTGAGTTATCACGCAATAATTTCTTCAATTTGTCCCGTTTTTGTTTACGTTTGTTCTTTATTAAGTGGCCAGTGACAACTGGTATACAGCCGCAAGGTTTCAGATGTGCCGTAGATTTTTGCACGAAACTGTACATTCCTTACACTTCACAATTATCGTGAGGCGTATCTCGTATTCGAGGGCTCCCGGACTCAAGATCTGTCCCGGAGGTCGGATATTCTGGCTGTAAATTATCGTGGTTTTCCTCTGTTCCTCTAGGCAAATACCGGGATATGCCTTTAATTAGGCCACGACCACTTCCTTCCTCTCCAACTTATTATCCAGTATCATCCTCTCATTGGTCTATAACTGATAAATATTTTCGAAAATAAGACAATTAAAAATATTATATTTCGAAATAAAGTAACTTTATTTATGTATAAGTTAAAATACGTAAGCAAACTGTATTAAATTTGGTCAATAGTTTAGTCCTCATAATTTAATCTTGTCTCCTCCATCTCAAGTCAAAAAGGATTTAAGAAACTACGATTTACATTTTGATTTATGTGAATTTGAAATGATGAATTGCCTAAAACGACCAGAGAAGTGGCTAAGAGGAGATTTGATCTGTAAAGAAAATAAAAGCGTCATTTTAAATAAACTGTAAATAAATTTTACCTGTTGTAGACAGAAATAAATTAAATATTTAATGCGCTTTCTAGTTGTAGCGTCACTGATAATTCAACCCCACGTACGAAAGTGATAGTTTAGTATGATATCGGAGAACGTGTGTAGTCAAAGCAACAACGTGCGACACTTTACTCCTTTTAACTGTGTAACCGACGTTTTAATATTATCCTCTCATATACTCCTTCTTCTACAAAGTGTTCTAATCTCCTCAGGTTCTTTGGTACATAAATGAAACAAGACATTCTCTGATCGAAGCGATTCCAGATTTTGGCTGCTATAAACAAAGTTTAAAGTTCTCAATCAGAAAACGTCTTGTTTCATATAAATACACCGAAGAACCTGAGGAGACGAGAACACTTTAAAGAAGGAGGAGTACATGGGAGGATAATATTAAAACGGATCTTACAAGACTACTGGCTACTATCAGTTTCTCTCGTACGACTCTGCTCTCTGAAGTCAGTTACTTGCGCAGAGAAAATGAAAAAGCCACGTTGACTGTGACCTTCTGAGGTTAGGACGCAGAACTGCCTTCATCTTCAGAGTTGAAGTTATTATGCCCTCAAGATAGCGAAGATACTTTCCTCAGAAACGTAGGTTGCAATCGAGTCGACATCTTCACTGTCTGGGAAACCTCAGACCCCAACACAAAACTCTATCTTCTCATTGGCTGATAATATAGCAGTAAAGCCAACGTCACACATGAGCTGTTATGTAGATTCTGTGACAAATTAGACCTTGAATATTGAACATTTTAGAGATTTCTGACGTAAAGTTATTTCACAAACAAAATAAACTTCTTATAGAAGAGAAATTTCCTTCTTTCTCTTCTTAAAAAACGAATTAACGGACCCTGACATTTGCATTTCACAGAGTTAGGTTAGGTTCAGTTCTAACATACATTTATCTATCTTCTTTTGTTTTCCTCGTAGCTTGTGGTTTTCGCTGTGGTTGCGGTCCTGGCCGCTGAAAGCCACGGCGCTGAGAGGCTTGCATTCAAGGGCAGTACAGTGCTACCAACAGAAACCACGGCCGTGAAACCACGTGCCCTGTCACCTGACCTCTCGGTCCACGAGAATTCTGCAAGCGGACAGTCACAAATCGTACGTAACAGCAACACGTTTATCGCCACGTGGATGCATAATAATGAACATTATACGTTTTTTATTATAATTTGTTGATTCGTCAATTTATGTTATGCAGATTTGCGATGTTTATCAAAATTTGCTTAGACCTGCTTGCACTTTTAGATCAATAGATTGCCTGTAGCAAATTGAAATGTTATAATTTTTTTTAAAAAAGATATATGATTACTAAACTTTGTCTAAGTTCTCTTATAAAAATATCCAGCTATATCTAAGAAAGAGTATATAAATCGTGATCAAAAATTGTACCCAAAGTATTATATTTTAATTTATATATACAAATAGGAGTGAAAATGTAAAAAAAAACACACATGGTTAAAACATATACGAGAATCAGCTGAAAGAAGCCAATATTGACGAACGTAAGGAAAATGATAGCAGAAAAAATATTTCAATAATAAGATCTACCTGCTCAAATACAGCTCATGCGAAATGTAAAGTAAGAGATTACATAATTGGTACAACTGGAAGGCTTATCACATGATACACTCTCCCCTTTTCAACAACAGTCGATTGGGGAGGAGGTTTCTAGTTCTGTGTCGCAGGTCCACTTGGCCAACGCCCCTGAAGAAGGGTGTACCACCCTCTTAAGGAAAACAAACTCGAGGACACAGCAGTATTAAATTATAAACCAGGGGTGGCCAACCCAAATGATCTTTCGGGCCACTTTGGAAATTAAACAGAACCGTTTACTTTCTTAATACAGGTTAACAAACTCAAAACATCATTACCACACACACGTTAATTACTAAGAGACTAACAAACAAAACATATAAGAAAAAATAACTCTCGGTTCGGCTCTCCAGCCTTGACCACCCCGAGGGACCAGGTAAGACACCAAACCAGGTAGTTCCCCGTCCAAAAACACAACAAAACCAATACCAATGTCAAAACAACAGCCAAATACAACCTCTTTCGTGTGCTGACGAGGTCTCCCCGAATCAGCCCCCACCTCCTAAACCGACCAAACCTCCCCACACGCAGGGGCACCCACCTCGAGGTTCTCTCCGTCAAATCTCCTGAACCGAATGTATTCTGCTCACACAATTACTTCAAAATCATTCCCGGGAGATACCCCAGGGTGGAGTTAAAATTGACGGTCACTCTCAGAACAAGACGCATCTCGAGGTCCTTATCTCGGTCCTTAAATATATTTTCCAAAATTTAAGTAACGAGTCTCACTGTCAAAGTTTAGGTCAGATTCAATGGCGTGGTAATAAATAATAATAATAATATTTTTACATTTATTTTTCTCAGGCATCAGATGAGTACAAAGAAATCGCGGTCAAGGAAAATGCATCAGATCGACTGGACACTGCGGCCACTTACAATTCGCCGACGCAAGTACAAGGAATCCTCCGGAACGCAAATGGCCAGGACGTTTATTCCACATTCTACGATTATAATCAACCTCTCTTTCTTAACAGTCGCGGTAAGTGAAAAACTCTCCTATAGTAATATTTAATATTGACCTCACAATGAAACGCGAATTTATTGCAAGAATTTTAACACGCTCATAAATATTTCGAAAAGGACCTCTGTCTACCCGGTAATATCATCTTGGCCTTCTTCAGAAACTTCTTCAATTCATTCACGGACAATCTGTTTGCCACTCCGGCGTGAATTAATCCATCCGGCAGTTTATTTTTACAGGGTGGGGTTGTCACCCCCACGTCCAACCCCCAATCCGGAGGACACTACATTATGACCTGTGTTAGATAATATTTCCGACATGCGAGAACGTTTATTATTACTTTCAGGTTTCACAACAGTGGACAACGTTCATCATTTCGTGATTGGAGCCAGCTTCCCTTATCTGTCAGTTCCTTACCTCTACGTAGGTCCCTGCTCGCTGGAGTGTGAATACTTCGCAATCCAACACGGCAACACTTTCCCTTCCTTTCATCATAGACCGCTTCATAACCTTGCCGAATATCATGGACCAAATCACCACACCTCGACCGGCTTTCAGCTTAACGGGAGACTTCCACACGCAATTCTTGGTCACAACAGACCGGAACATTCCGGAGTCAGGCACGATGCCGGAGGTCAGGTGAGGTACCTGACGGGCGCAAACGATGTCAACCACATCAAAACTCAACCTCACCTTCTTCAAAACAGAATAAACGGCCAGTATGCATCTCAAACACAACAGTATCACCAACTGTGATGTGTTTTTAACTCACAGAAATGCATTAAACAAATTAAATCGACGCAGCAGAATAATATTTAAAGTCTACCGAAGACATTACCCATCATTCATGGAGACTGAAGGTTCAGTACCATGACCCATCCTTACCCACAAGAATCCCGTCCACATTTTCACAACTAAATTCGTTAAAATCCTCCCATTTGTGTCTATTTCCTTTACGTATTTGGAAGAATATATTGTAGGCATTTGACTTCGTCCTCGTGCGTGCTATACGCGCTGCCAAGCTATTATCTAAATTTGTACTCTGTTCTCGGGTTCGATTCCCGGCGGTGCCCGAATTTATAACTTGTGTTGGGCAAGGCCGTGGTCTAGGCAACACGGAGTTTTCCTCCGTGGCATCCCAACAATTACTCCATTCACACACAAAAGAAGGCAATGGCAAACCACTTCTGGATCATCTACCAAGAACGTATATGAACAGAATTTATAACTTTTGTTGGGCAAGGCCGTGGTCTAGGCAACACTGAGTTTTCTCCGTGGCATCCCAACAATTACTCTATTCACACACAGAAGAAGGCAATGGCAAACCCCTTCTGGATCATCTGCCAAGAACGTATATGAACAGGTCCCAGTCCGAGAAAAGGATGGAAGGATCCTGTTCATATGGACCTGTCGTCAGACAGAACACTAAAAAAATAAATAAAATAACTATCGACATCTGTAAATACTTATTTATCCTTTCTCAAACAGAAAAATCTGCTGTCATCTCTTGGGACTGCCGATCAGGTCAGGAATCCAAAACGTTGTTTCTAAACAATTCATGGGGAATCCCCTGTCATCATAAACCAAAATGTGACGTAGTTCAGCATAATTATGTTTTCAAACAAATTCTCATATATTCTTTAAACTCCAATACGCAGGAGATTGGTATGAATGCTGACCTAACTTAAACCTTTACTTGACAGGGGTTCGGTTCGAATACCGTTCAGATTATTTATAATCCCTATTGATATTTCTCTTTTTTTTTAATATATCAAGGGCAATGTCGGAATAGCACCTACTAATAAACCACGCTCACCTCCTTTCAAATACCTGCCACACTACACAGTAGTTGCTTTGCAAAGATACGTGAAAGTCTCTGTATCACACACGTCATCACGAACAATTACGTCATAACTCCTGTCGGACGATCGTGGTTAATGGCGTAATTGCGGAGAACTGTCGTACTGTCTGTATATCATTAATAACAAAAAAATCTAGAAAATACCATCTAATGCCATGACCCACATACCAAATTTCATGAAAATCAGTCGTTCTGGAAGAATTATATGACAGAATGTTTCGTCTGTTAAGACCATCGATAGATGGCAGCTTGTACTTGGATTAAAAAATGTGATAGGAATACAGGCGGACAGAATGAGTCCACAATATCTTCTTTACTTGCTATGGAGTGTTAAAACAGCTGACAAATATTCAAAATAGTATCCCCAGTGCACATGCCTTAACTGAACAACATCCTAAAAGAACTCAAGCCAAGCCAACTCATACAATTTAGCTCTTTTATAATCCATTTACATGTTAGATATAGGTCGTTTATTAAACAGAGAGGTAAATAAAGTTTTCGCGCAGGAGCCATGTTCTTGACTGACCTTCAAGAGAGTAGCTACTTCAAGTTGTCGTAAAGACACAGGACACCTGGTGTTCGAGTGACAAACCATAAGCGAGTTATTTCTTGTAACACACGAAACAGAACACTGATTTTGTAGAGGAACAATGCGTTATTTATTTACGACAATCTGCAACAATCACCGAATTCATTCCGAGTCGAATTACTTGACAAGAAAAATTGTTGAAATGAATTTCAAAAGCACGTATCACGTGGCCCTGATACGGTTTTAACGAGAAAATTATACGAAATTAACGTTCTGTTAAATCGCTATCCGATTGACTGGGTTTTCCGTACTGAAATTAATATTCGTTGTTGTAAAATATGTTAACAGACGAGCAGGGATAAGCTACAGGCAATTTTATCTTAATAGGTTTCGTCATTAAGCATTGTTGGAAAACAACAATAAGGAAATGTACGTAAGAGTAACTCTCAAGGCCATTATTACTGAATATCATTTACGTCAGAACGATTTCTTACAGGGTCGGCAAACCTGTTAGTCATCTCACTTTCAACCTTGAAACAATTCCACTGGAAAGCAACAACTTCCTATCTTAATAATCTGTAAAAGAAATGTAAAACTCTCCCACTACACTATTGTGTGAAGTTTCGTATTTCTACCACTGGAGGGCTCTGGATTACAGCCGTGAAATTGGAACAAGAGACGATGTCAGATTACAGAGATTGTGGTTTTTTGGTTGCAGAATACGTCTGAAACGCTTAAAAACACTTCAAGCACGTATTCAAAGGGCTGTAGACATTAATACCATCTTGCCTTCACAGTCTCGAAAACAGATGCGAAGATATGAAACTAACATTAAAGTTGAGAATAAAAAATATGCTCGGGTATTCTGCGTTGTAACTCGATTGCTTTGGGACAGCGTTCAAGGACGTGCTTTGTGTTTACAGTATTACCTTTTGGTTTCTTTATGGCAGACATTTTAGTTGTACTCGTAGTAGATATTCCTCCAATGTCACGCATGACAGCAATTATACATGCCAAATTTAATGACAGCCTTTTTGTTTTGGAGAAGGTGGACAGACTTTATGTAAAACTAAATCACAAATTATAGTCAGATCTGTAAACAAGGTTTCAAATATCGCATGACGACTGTTTACTGTTTCATTTTTCATACGTCCCGAGAAGTCTGCGAGTGCGGGAAACTTTGTTACGTGCCTCTATAGTCCTCCTGTCCTCGACGCCTTCCCAAAACCAAAGCAGGACATCCTTTCTTGTCAAGTGACGAGTTTTCGTCATCGGTACGCAAAGTTCTATCGTGACGTTCTCATGAAAGTTGGCAGACTAATTTTATCTATAAAAAATTGCGTACGATTACAGAATAATATTTAATAAAAATATCGATGTTTCTTTCAATATAATATTTACTTTCGTTACGTGAAATAAAAGCTGGTAGGGAGGAATTACATTTCAGCACAACCTCGAAAATAGACGCTAGAGTTAACCTTTTTACCATATAGAAGTTAGGGGTCGGAAAACTGTTTGTGTTTCGACTACCAGAAACAAGTTCCTGTGCTATTCCATGGCTCGTTATTCAACACACTGGGAACCATCCTACTGTATCTGGTGAGATCCTTCCCCACTGAATGTAACAAACATTTTCTACTCCTATGTTCCATGTTGCAAATTCTTGTACCTGAAGTGACGATAGGTAATGGTACCTTATTTAAGAGTTGTATATTTGAGACGCTAATTATAGCCGTCTTAATAACATTATTTTTTGTTGGGCAAGGCCGTGGTCTAGGCAACCCGGAGTTTTCCTCCGGGGGCTTCCCCGGTTTCTCCGTGGCATCCCAACAATTACTCCATTCACACATAGAAGAAGGCAATGGCAAACCACTTCTGGATCTTCTGCCAAGAACGTATATGAACAGGTCCCAGTCCGAGAAAAGGATGGAAGGATCCTGTTCATATGGACCTGTCGTCAGACAGAACACTACAAATAACTCCTACTACTTCGTGATTGTCTGACATCTGAATGACACTTTGATGTCGTAACTCAGTTCTGATTTCTACATGTTATTTATATACCTATTAAACGATGCTTTCAATAGCTTCAACTACATAGCGTAGAATGAAAGAATAATTAATTAATGTAAATGTAAATGATGTGGACGGAAGTTGGCATGGTCTAATTTATTATTTCTGTCAGTGCCCGGAGGACCTGATGAAAACCACGATCAATTTCAGTCATGATAGTCGGTCGATAAATCCCCTCGTCAGTGATCATAATTCATAAAATGTTTTGGAAGACACATTTCAAGTTAATGAAGTGCATCGTTAATGTCTTCCTAAAAATGTGTGTTGTTAACAAAACGACAGTCTTTTGATTGTTCAAATATCCTCATCTTAGAACTTATTTTTGATGAGTTGGAATTATCTGCTTTTCAGTTGATATAACTTTGGTAAAAAAATATGTACGTAAAATCTGAGGTTTTCACGGCCTCGAGTATGAAGATGAATGTCTTCTGGGTTGTTGCGCCGTGTAGTCTGACTCATCGCCCTGATGATGGAGGCAGCGAACGCCTCTGAAACATCTGTAAACTTCTACCAGTCTATACACGCGTTCTACGTCAACAGAGAAATTTAGTAAAAGTGTTCTATGAAAGTATTCAATCGACGTATTGGAATGTGTAGAAACCGCGCGCACGTACGTTCTTGGATTTTTAAACAGTCAGTGGGTTTGTCAGTAATAGAGCATCTAGAAATGCAGTGTGGATGGCGCACGGCCGAGTGGATGTCCTGTACAAAACCACGCAGAAAAACTGAGACTTCCATGTTACAACCAGAGATGTTTCAGGTGGAGTGGGAGAATATTCTGTATCAACTGTCTAATGTCACCTAATAGCACACGAGATATTGGTCTAGTTATCAGTTAGCAAAAAGGCAGACGCTTACAACATCAGGAAACTGAGAGATTTATAATTCGAAAAAGATAGTGCTTTAAACAATTTTTAAATGATAACGTACGCGTACTTAGCAATGCAGTTTACTGTGAAGGTAGGCCTACGGTTATATTTCTTTGCAAGAGAATGTTGAAAGTGTAAGGTAAGGTCGCACATTATAAATTTAAAAATTTATGAAAAGCATTTCTGCTTGTCTTTTTATACATTGTTCTTCAAGGTTAGAACACGTCCTGGCAGTAACAGCTGACGTTAAGCAGATCGGAACAAGACAAGAGCTAACCTAACCTAACCTAACCCAACGTAACCTAA